ATTGTGTTTACAATTATCTATATATGTGAATTGCGATTTTTAAATGTCTTTTTTTTTAAATGCCTTTTTTTTTCCTTTTTTTATATTATATTAAAGTTTAATATTTTGATAATAATCATATGTGTTTGACTTTTCAAGGAATTAAATATCTTTTTTTTATTATATTATATTAAAGTATAATATTTTGATAATAGTCATATGTGTTGGACTTTTCAAGAATTTTTTTTATGCTTGTTTTTAATGCATTAAAGTGTTATTATGAGAGATAATAATCATATGTGTTGGGACTTTTTATGGGAATTCATATGTGTTGGATTTCAAAAAAAAAAATTAATGCTTGTTCTAAATGCATTAAAGTGTTATTATGAGGATAAGACTTGAGAGTTAAAAGAGATTAATAAATGCTAAGATTTTTTATTTTTTTAAATAAAAAAATCAAGAAATTTAGATTGGGAGATTGGAGCTCTCACAAGACTTGGGGTTAAAAACCCCTTTTGCTCAATATATAGTATAGATATAGATTAGCCTATCACCCGTGCTATGCACGAGATAATTATAGATATTTATATTTGTTTTAAATTTTTTTAATATATAAATTATGTTTTTAAAAAAATTTATAAAAATAATTTAACAATCTTATCACTAACCATAGTGTATGGAAGAAGTTGAAAAGGATATTGCAGTAACTATACACTGATTGTATCTATAATTATTTGTATGAGAGAATTTTAAATGCTGATCTGGAAATTTTAACCAAATCAATAAATGCAGGCATATGGAAAGACATGTGGATTGAAAAAATTTAATAAATGCTAATCAATGGATTTTGACTAAATCAATAAATGCTGAGTTTTTTTTTATAAATAAAAAATTTTAAAAATTCAGATTGGGATATTGAAGCTCCCACAGGTATTGGGGGTTAAAAACTCCCTTTTGTTTAATATATAGTATAGATATCATTCAACTAATTATAATCACATTTTTCTCTTTGTGAGGGTTTATATTTATCTAACTTCAATCGTATTAAAAAATCAAAAATGAAATTAAAATAGTAAATAAAAAGATTAAATAACATTAAAAAAAACTCATTGAACTAACTACAACAATCATATTAAAAAAAAAAGAGCCATTAAACAAACTACAACCACATCACATTTTTCACATAATAAAATAAGTAAATGAAAAAAAAGAACTCTTAAACTAATTACAATCACATTGGAAAAAAAAAAAAAGAATCATTCAACTAATTATAATCACATTTTTCTCTTTGAGAGGATTTATATTTATCTAATTTCAGTCATATTAAAAAATCAAATTATAATTTTTTATTCGCTAGACAAATCACAAATATTTTTATGCGTTATCTAACTATAATATTAAAACAGTAAACAAAAGGAAAAGTCAATAAGAAGAAAACAAAAATAAGACTTACTGTTTGCATACGTGGTCACTTAAGTTGAAAGTGTAGAAGTGAGAAGTCAAAAAAGAGAAAACAAAAAGGAGACTTTGCAATAGATATGTGAAAAGTTAAAAAGAGTGTGTATATTGGAGAAGTTAAAAAAACTTGGAAGAATTTAATAAGTGCTAAGTTTTTTTTTTCAAAAAAAATCAAAAAAATTAAGAAATTAATGTTCAGATATTGAAACTCCCACAAAACTTGTGGGTTAGAGATAGATATAAATAAATAGATAGATATAGATATAGATATAGATATAGATATAGATATAGATATTTAAATTTGTTTTAATATACAAATTATTTATTTTGAAAAAGGTACTGCAGTAATTATGAGAGAAGTCAAAAAGTCTTGTGAATTGGGAGAAGTTAATAAATGTTGAGGTTAATTTTTTTTTTTAAAAATAAAAAATTAGAAAATTAGGATTGACATATTGAAACTCTCACAGGCCTTGAGGGTTAAAAATCCTCTTTTACTTAATATATAGTATAGATAATGACTTAAGAAAAATATTAAGGCCATTGTATATGTAATCTCGGTGTGCCGAATCATTATAAATGGCTAAGTTTATTTTATCTTCCTTTTGCTCATTTTATTTGATTATTCTATTTGATTTTGTTGAGTTAGAATATTATTTTATTTCTATTTGATATTTATTTATTATCTGAATTAAAAATTTATTTGGAAACTTAATTCACCTCGTGTTGAGTTGCCTCCTTAGAATAACATTTAGGGTGCTGTTATTGTACACCATATGCAACCAACACAAAAGGTGTAAGTGGAAGGTGTAAACATAAAATAGGACAGCAAACAGAAAGGCGTTAGTATAAGGTGTAAATTGCACACTTAAGAAAAGTCCTAACATTTATCAACAGGATCACGTTTCTCTCTCCTAGTTGGCTATTGGAGCTCAACGCCACTACCACCACAGGTACATGGACTGTTTATGTGAATGAGAAAAACTTCTCAAAACTAGGGAGGTGTGCTTCAAATTGATAGTGACGAAATGGACTTGGCTTAAATTTGGTTTCAAAATTAGACCAATGTTGTGTTTAGTAGGGAATTTGAAGAGGGATTTGAAAAGAAAAATAAAAAAGATAGGTGAAATATGAAAAAAAAAATACACTTATATTTCAGTTAATTTCACTTACCTATCCCTTTCTCTTTCCAATTCTCTTTTCAAATTCCCCAACTAAACACACCATAAACAAAATGAGGCCAACACTACTTCAGATTATTACCAAATCCAGAAAACATAGGAAACTTGGATTGCTTTGGGTTGAGATTACTGAATCAACATAATAATAACTTAGTTATTCATTAATGGCCTTGATTTGTTCCAATTGAAATTTGCATTGTTAGTCCAACATTCAACAATCTGCTTCTGCTACAACATTCAACAATCTGAAAAATGGAGAGAGAAAGAAATAATCAAGAAATTTCAGTGGTATTTAGTGGCTTGAATCAATTGTTGCAAGTCTTCTCGCCGGAATGGAAGGGAAAGGGTCTCTGCTTCTGCTTCTAATTCTCTATTTCAGAAATTTTATTTTATTTTTTATTTTTTTTTGTGGTTAATTTTATCTCAAAACGACATCGTTTTGTGATCCTTATCGGAACCACCGCAGAAGATCCAGACTCGTCCATGTGGGGAAAGATGATGGTGCCTTATGTACAAATTCTCTTTGATAATGGGACAAACTCAACAAAGCTGGAAAGATCTGATTCGCCATTCATTTTGAGGGTTTGGATTAATGTTTCACAGCTAGGACAATGTGTTAAGGTCAAGCAGACATTTCATATTATCTTCCTTCCAAATTCTGTTCCCATTCTCACAATATTATAGTTTATTGTAAATGAGTTTACAAAATCAAAAATCACTTTTATTTCTTATATTTTGACTTAAATTTTAATTTAATTTTTATAATTTTAAATTAAATAATTTGATTCCTATACTTTAAATTCAACTTTATTTTGATCATTTCGTTTAAATTTTTATTAATTTTTCCTACAGTTATGTTTGAATCATGGATTTAGATAATTATTTGAAAAAGAAAAAAGAAAAAATCTGAGTAAAATGTAACTATATTTCATTTAAATTTTACCCAAATTGTCATTTTTTATTTTTAAATTCCTATCAAAATCCATAATATAAAAACAACATATGTGTATAACCTAGGGCACTGTTTCTCAATTATTAACTTTAATCTTGAACTCAAATAGAATGGCCAAACTGAAACTGATTTAAAAGGTAGAGATTAAATTGTTTAATTTAAAATTATAGTAAACTAAAGTAAAATTTGAGGGCAAAAAATATAATTAACCTTTTTTTTAAATTATTAAATTCATAAAATAAATAAATAAATTTAGGCTTGGTTTGGGAAGTAGGTTGGCTTTTTGGCTTTTTGGCTTTTTTGGCTATTTTAGCCTGGGCTAAAAAGCTTGGTTTGGGAATGGCTTTTTGGCTTTTTGACTTTTTTGACTTTTTTTGTGAGAGAAGAATGTAATGATTATAGGTTGGATGTGATGTTTTGTTTGTAATGGCTAAAATAGCCTATTTTATTTTTTGTGGCTAAAATAACCAAAAAAGCCTGAAAATCATCTTGCCAAACAAAGGCTAAGAGATCTTTCAAAATGAGGCCCACAAATTGTTTGGAGGCGTAGGCAAATTTTCTCTGATAAAAGATAATTGGGAGTTCTAATAGGAGGTGTGATGTTTTAACACCGATTTTATTTATTTATTTATTTTTATTTTTCATCATATCATTAGAGCTTAATTAAAATTTCAAAATTAAGGAAATGTATCATTGCTGTTCTATAATTACCAAAAAAAAGAAAAAAAACTATTTTTCCACAAATTTTCTATTGTTTTTTTCTTTAAAAAATTGACAAATTGATTTTTTTTCATTTTTCTTTTTTCTTTTTTCAATTCCTCTAGTCCGCCTGCCAAAATTGACATTCTTAACGATGGCTATGATAAAATTGTCTGTCATTCTTGACGATGGCTGTGATTCTCTCTCTCTCTCTCTCTCTCTCTCTCTCTCTACACTTTGAATTCACTGCAAAACCCTAATGGATTTGGAGTATGAATCGTACCCAGTGTACCAAGATTTAGTGGCTCTTCCATTCTTCATCCTTTTCTTCCCCTCACTTCATTTCATTCTCTACCGATTTGTCTTCGAGGTATGTTTGTATATCATGCTCTGCTCTTTTATTTGAGAAGTTGTTCAAAGCTGTGTTTGATTTGATTTTTTTTGGCTAAAAAAACACAAAAACAAAATTGACTATACGAGTTAGTAAGATAAAATATTATGTCTAAATCATAATTATTATATTTTTTCTCTAAAAAAAATAAAAAACACAAAACCAAACAAGCTAAAAAAAAAATTTAAAATTAAAAAGTCAGGCCATTTTGGCTCTCTCAAAACGAAGACTTTAGTTTCAAAATATATTTGAGGAAAAATGAGGGAAACATCCTTTCAAACTTTGTGTAGTGTGAGGTGTAAGAAGTTACTTTTTATTAGATAAAGTTTGTCAATATTTTCATAAAGAAAATTTGATTTAGAAAAATTTTATTCAACTCAGAGAAATTTTGATATCGATTCAGAGAAATTTCAAGAAATTTCTCTGATTTTGAAAATTAAAATTTCTTTTGAGTCGGAACGAAATTTTTTTGAGTCAAATTTTTTCTCTGTAAAAAAAATATTGAGGACTTTAAATATTACGAAAATATTATATGTTTGTTATCTTATAAAATCTTAATACAAGACCTTCAAAAAAATTTCCCTATATTTAAACTTACTTGTTTACATAGTGAACCGATGTCAAACGAGCTTTAACGGGCCAAACACTAGTTGAATTCGAGTAGCTGGATTTTTAATATTATATATTAAGTTATCGAGTCGAGTAGTAGATTGTGTGACTTAAAAACTTATCAAATTTAAAATTGTTTACATAACAAGTCGATCTTAATCAAGTTTTTAAAGAGCCAAAGACGAGTTAAGCTTGAGCATTTTGGTTCATTTAACAGTCCTATTTATTTGAAACACTCACATACCTATAGTTAGGTTGGGCAATTTTGCATTTTAAACTGTTTGAGAATGAGTAAGATAAATTCAATTTGATAATCATTTAGCAGTTATTTACTAGTTGTGGAGTTTAAACTAATCCAATAATAGTTTTGAAAAAAAATGATGAAGCTTCAGAACACCAAATGGGTTGTACACTTTATAATTTTACATCTAACTTTTGGGCAGTTGGATGAATAAGAAGATGGTTTGGATTTAAAAACCATTTAGCAGTTATTTATTGAATTTTAAATTAATCGACTTGTATTTTTGAAGAAAATAGTAAGTGTCAATTGTAGAATGTTATGGTTTTTTAGGTGAAAATTACAAATGTTTGTGGTGTTTGTGATAAAAATTACAAATGGCGAATGCGTGGTATGCACATACGCCCCTAAAATGAAATATGCAAATCATTGTGGTTATGTTATAAACCGTTTGTAGTGAAAGATGTTACGAATCATTAACAAAAATTATGACTTGCTGTGATGTTTGTTATGAAACATTGTGATTATATTACATACGTTGTGGTAAAGTCGAGCAGTTGAATCAGAGGATCGAGAGGTTGAAAAATCATGACTGATTTTTATTTCATGCTTCGAGGCAGTAACTTCTGTTCAACCTATGACTAATTGTGGGTTTTAAGTTCTGAATTTTGATCTCTTTCAGTGGGTATTCATAAACCCTTTCTTTTAAATATGTTTTTTTTTTTTTCAGATTTTAAAATATTGTTTTTATACAACATCATATTGTTGCTATTTGAACATTGAACCAGAAGCTCATGATTGACAGAAAATAGCTAGAAGACTAATTTTGGGAAAGGGACATGGAAAGCAGGATGGTGAAACATATTTGAGGAGGAAGAAACTCAATAAGTTCAAAGAGTCAGCTTGGAAATGTCTTTATTCTCTATCTGCTGAGCTTTTGGCTCTTTATGTTACCTACAATGAACCCTGGTTCACCAACACAAGATGCTTTTGGCTAGGCCCTCAAGATCAGGTTTGGCCTCATCAGAAAATGAAGTAAGATTTCTTAACCCATTACACATGTTTAGATCATAGATTTGAGTAGAGATTTGGAGAGGGAAAAAGTAGGTAAAATATGGTTATATTTTATTCACATTTCACCTACTTTTTCGCAATCTCTTCCCAAATCTCTACATAAATCCATGATCCAAACACAACCTAAGTAGTTCCTCTGGCTTGCTTTATAACTTCTATATTCTTCTTCTTTCTTTTAAGAATAAATAATCCTTTATCCCCTCAAGTTGGGCCGTTATCACTTTTACTCCTCTCAAGTAAAAATTGCTACATTTTGCCTCCCAATCTTCTGATTTGTTTTGTTTGAATGTCAACCTTCTGTTAACATTCTATATGAAAAGGGATGGAAAAGTGACATGTTTGTTATACATGCCAATTTTATGATCAAAATATTCATTCCGTAGCTGATTTGTTATGGAAGTACTAAATAAGTATATTTTTTGACTTTTTATGAAAATATGTGCAGAAAAGTAGAGAAGTGATGTGACTAAAAAAAGATAAAAAGATTAAAAAAAAAAAGTGTGTTACAGTAGCACTTCCCAAACAAAGTATTATTTACATATATATGAGCGATATCTGTCCATACATTTTCCTCTCCTATGAAGAAATATGTGAGAAAATACATTTGCTCGCTTGCCAATTTTATGACCAGAGAAGAAAATATATAAATGCCCCCACCCTCCCCCTTCTCTCTCTTCCATACGCACATATATAAACCAGCTTTTGATTAAGTATTTTGGTCATAAAATTGGTGTGTACAGCTCACATGCCACTTTTCCATCATCTTTTCATATCCAAATGTTGACAGATTGAAACAAATCAAAAGAATAGGGAGACAAAATATAATAATTTTTAGTTGAGGGAGTAAAGTGTAATTTTCCCTTTTTGAACATGGGTAAGAATAAACTAATTCTTCATATACCCTAAAGTTTTACCTATTTCATACATCTGTAAACAAAAATTGAGTCATTCTTTTGTTGTTTTCTAGATTGAAATTGAAGGGATTGTACATGTATACTGGTGGATTCTACATATACTCTATATTCACTTTGTTTTTCTGGGAAATAAGACGTTCAGACTTTAAGGTGTCGATGGCTCATCATGTATCAACTGTCATTCTCATTGTGTTGTCTTACATATTGAGGTATGTATATACATATTGATAAATACGTATTCAGGTATATTTCACAAAGTCATTATTATGCATGTGAATTTATTCTATATTTCCCTATTCTATGTTACAGTTCAGTATGATAAATCGTGTCTTCTGAATCTCAACGGTCTGTTTCTTCTTCCCCTTGCAGGTTTGGTCGAGTTGGTGCGATTGTTTTAATTCTCCATGAAGGAAATGATGTGTTTTTACAAATTGGGAAGATGTCTAAATACAGTGGCTTTGAAAAGATTGCAAGCATTTCTTTCTTTCTTTTTGTTTTGTCTTGGCTTATACTTCGTATGATATATTATCCATTCTGGATACTTTGGAGTACAAGGTGAAATTCAATTTGTAGTGCTCATAGTTATTTTGCTTATTTTGAATTTTAGGATAAATTACACTGACCTCCTCTAAGATTTGGTAAAAATACAATAAACCCCACAAATTTGTCATAATTATACTAGGCTCCCTTATCGTTGTAATTCGTACAACACTTGGGCCCATTTTTCATCAAAAATTTGATAGTCTTATCTTATGAATGAAAAAATGATCTTGTCATTTCTTTTACACTAAAATGTATATTTTATCTTGTGCATCTTTGTGTCTTCATACTATTTGCAGTAATTTTAGTCTCTATAAACCCTATTAAAAGAGAGGTCGGCATAATTACGTCAAAATTATGGGCATACTATATTTTCTCCAAAGCTCAAGGGAGCTCCGTGTAATTTACCCTTGATTTTATTATGGTTATTGTTGTGAGGTGTCCATTACTGGCCATTAGGCTAAAGCAAAGTTTTTGCCGGGCTTGTGTTTACAAACATTTTATACAATGAGAGTTGTGGGTTTGGATATAGAAAACTTCTAGAGTTAGGGTTATAAGAGGGAGAGTGTTTAAAACTTGCTTTGTTACGCAATTCTTTAATATCCCCTCAGCGGGTACAAATGCATTATAGATTAAATTTTTTGGCAGTTTAATAATGATGAAAACCGTTTAGCAGTTTTGGATGATTTGATGAATGAGAAAAACAGTTTAGCAATTATTGAATGTGACAGTTATTGAAAGTGAAGCGTGACAGCGTTCACCCCAAATGGGATGTACGCTTTATATAATAGATGACGACTTTTTTTTTTTCTTCTCTCTTTGTTGCAGCTATGAAGTTCTGTCCATCTTCGACATAGGAAAGCAGATGCCCAATGGAATTCTATATTATTGTGTGTTTAACTTTCTTCTATTCGGCTTGCTTGTTTGCCACGTGTATTGGTGGAGGCTTATGTTCCGAATGCTCATAGAGCAAATACAAAACAGAGGCCAGATTGGTGATGATGTTCGATCTGGTAAGTAGCAAAAATTACATAAATGGTGCCATATTTCAGATTCACTTTGTATCCAATGACACTGAGTGAATTGGGACAGGGAGAGATCTCTGGCTGTAGAAAAGCTACTAATTTATTCTTGACATGTTTGTCACCTTATGTGGATGTTTGACCACTAACCAAATCCGTTTTTGTGCCTAAAACATATGTATTTTGTTTTCTAGGGCATATCTGTATCACCGTATTTATTTCATCACTAATGCCCATCTATGCAACGAACTCATGTAAAAAATACATATATAGAATCCACCATGCTATGTAAAAGCTACATAGGAGGTTAGAGATTTTGATGAAATTTATCAATAATATATGCAACAACCCTCTGTTTTTTTTCTCTGTGTCATGTATATAATTGATATGTGTATATCAATATGTTAGAAACACTAACAAACGTACCACCAAACATACCAATTAGATCTGTATCTGGGATTACGTAAGACATGGTGGAGATGCATATACTTCTAAAAAAAACTTTGGTATAAATTGGTAGTGTTCATTTATTGATGTGGGATGACTTCATGAAACTTGCCCTAAGGCTGCCTATGATTGGATGTATGGTGAATCTATGGTTAGAAAGCTTCTAGGGCTACGATTTTTAAAAGGAATAAGAATATTTTTAGGGTTTCTAGATTAAATATGCTAAAATTTGGTAGGAGTTTCAAAAGTCGTTAGCAAATTTTTTAATTTTTTATTTTTTCTGACGATCTCTGAATCATGTAAAAACTATGAGCCTCTGATTTGCATTGTTTACTTCATTTGAGAAACGTACACATACGGATAGATTCATAGTTTTGTTTTTTTTTGTTTTCGTGTATAGATTCCGAAGATGATAATGAGCATGAAGATTGACCATTAAAGAGTCTGAATGATACAACATTCGCTTGTTCAAGGTACTTGAGAAATTTATCATCATTCTGATATGATTGTTTTTGCTTTGTCTTTCCGCAACAAATCCTTCTTTGGAGATTCATACTGTTTTTGTTGATTCATTTCTGCAGCAGATATATGGTTACGCATCAATGAAGGGATGAAACATCTATGTGTTAGCACTTTCATATCCATTTGTAATGTAAGTTCAAACTATTTGAACTACTTGTGGTGATAAGAAGTCTTCTTCCCATCAAAGGAGTACGTATTCCTGAATCCGAAACCAATGATGAGGTAGAAAATAATTTATATAATAACCGGGAACTGCGAATATGTATGGACCTAACAAATTGTTTGCTTTTTATCAGATATAGTTCATCATCACAGTTTTTGTTTCTCACCACTAATCACTGAAGATTGGCTGTTAGAATCTTGTGATTCACGATTCGATTTATATGATTTGATACGAATTTCGATCAAAATGATCTAATTTGTATTAGTAAAACTTTAATTTAGTGAATCATACAATTCAATTATGATTCACTACGATTAGTTACAATTCAGTCTATTCACATAATGTATTAAATGTGTTGTTTTTGCAAAATAAAAAGAGATTAATTAATTGAATCTCACAATGTAGTGTTTTAACAAAACAATTCACTATTCAATTTGTGATTTAACAACAATGAATCGACATTTATATAGCATGACATACTATATACAATACATATGAGTCAAAGGCATAGAAGGCCTGAGAAGCATTAAATTCCAAAATATGAAATTAAATAGCTGCAATTGATAAAATCAAACCATTGCACAGTAGCCAAAAGTACTTCCAAACTCTGTTCAACACTAGCTAACAACAAATTTGCTATTTTGCTTATATCCTATCACATTTTCACAATAAAGTGCATGGTAACTATTAATTTCCGAACAGGCTGAATTGTGGATGGTAATACACACCCGAGAAGGAATCCGACATTTCTTTTGTCCTTGTTTGATCAATGAGAGAACTTTGATATTAACTTGTCAACATGGATGACAATGTCGTCTATGTGAGGTCGAACTGTCACCTGGGGCTGGAGCATCCATGTCACAAACTTGTGAAGAGCATCTGGGTATAGAGGATTAGGCCCAGTTGGCCACTTTATCTGTGCGTTTACAATGGCTAGCTGTAGGCTTCCTCCAGATTCCCCCAGTGCATACTCAAATGGAGACATGCCATACCTGAAAGATATAGTGATTAAGGGAAGGAAAATATATATGTATATGTATATATATATGAGTACCAACAGTGATCAAATCCATGCGGTGTTATAAAAAAAATTAAGATTGTATGCAGAAGCCAGATAGTGCCTTTTTTTGGGTTCTTCCGAATTATAACAATCAATGACTTTAAACTCTGAGGACTATTCTGTACTTGCCACAAGAAAATCATATATAATTTTTTATTCCTATACCCATCCAAACAAAGCCTAAATTATTGATCAAGTCACAGTGCACATGGTTAGACTCCATCCATAAGCTCTGCTAAATGGTCACTGAGTGATCTGATGATGTATAACAAAATTAACAGCTATGCCAACGAGATAACCAGAGCTGCGTCCTATTATTGCTAATATCGAAAAACAAATAGTTTGCTGTAAAGGACAGAAGTCAGATGCTTACATTATTGCGAACAATGTGCATCCTAATGACCAGATATCAACTCTTTCATCAATATCTGCATGGCTTGGGCAATCCCACAATTCAGGAGCTCGAAAAGGTGCCGAACAGTGCTCAGATGCCCATTCCTACATAATAAACATCCAGAAAACCAATCATATGCGATTCGTATGTTTCTTGACATCCAAGCATAGTCTATATGTGTGCGTTTAACTGGTACTAGAACTGAAGAATACTTCAGGCTTTCAGTATCTCCCCTAAGCTGGACACTTCCACCCTCTTCTTCTTTAGTCAAGATCTCTAGAGTGATTTTTCCTTGAGTGCTCATAGAGTAGTAAGGTTAGGCTCTGAATGTTGGAAGGTGAAATGATTATTGTACCCTCAACTTTGGTAGAATTAAATCTCAACCATCCAAAAAATCGCTCTAAGATCACTCTAAGAAAAATTACTCTAGAGGATCCTCACTCCAGAGGCGGAGCCAGGAGTTTGGCATTGGGGGGGCCAAATAGGTGAACTGGACTTGAGCTCGAAACACTTGGGGATTATAGCAAGTTGAGTTAATTAATTTATAGTAAATTATGAACTACTTAAATAATTATTAAAACATTGCTAAATGTCTTTTAGTGGCACATTTAGGAACAAGACTTAGTAGGTAATGCTATCAATATATGGGGGGAAAATATGTTCAATTCTACTTAATTCTATCAAGTTGGACAAGTATGTATAAGTCTTAATTCTATCGCACCAAGTTTACACATAGCTCCTTATGATATATTATTTTGGTCTTGTAATAAAGTTCAAAACACATCTCATTACGGCACACAAGAAGAAATAGCACAAGCCTAGTCGTTCTTAGCCTGTATAGAACTAAAAACACACGGAAATAAAATGATGAGAAAAACAAAAATGCTATGTAGACAATTTAACTTTATTATTTACATTTATCATTTAATGTTTTTTTTAACCTTTACTAGAATGAAACCATAGTTCGTTAACCAATCTAGGTGAATAATTATTTCATTTGAATGTATTTTTCATTATTTTTAACTGACCAAATGTGAAAATATATACTAATGGAATGAACATTTCATTCTATATTTGTTTTAGTGAACCAAACACTACCTCATATATTAGTATTATGTATTACAAATCCAAAGTATCAGTGATAGAATAAATATAAATAAAAATCAAATAATAAGCATAGCATTAATATGAGAGAAGCCCCATTCACAGCCCAAGAAATCAAGCCCCAACTACAACCTGTTGGTCCATCAAACAGCCCGTGGACCTCTTTATATTGAAATTTCTGAGGCAACCCACTCATCTTCTCCAGACATCCATGCCATTACAAAAGTATTTGATTGGGGGGGTCACATATAAGAAAATTATATAAAAATTCCAAAACTTACATACATATTGAGGTGTTCCGATTGACTTTTGGAACACCTTTTTCTTATCAAACCCCTTTCTCACTCACTTGTACATTTGCAGTGTAGTAGCTAGGGAGGTTAGGGGTTAATTAAACCCAGAGTAGACTGCATGAAATTGGTTTTGTTAGACTTGGGAATCAGACTGGACTCATGCTTGTCTGGTGCTTGGCCAGTGATGCTTAATGTTCACTTGCCTTAATTTTAACTAAGCCATGAATCTAGTAAACAAAAAGAGGTGCATGTTGAGGAGTTTAACAGTTACTCATGCCAAGAATTAACTTAAAAAGAAAAAATTGGAGAAAATACATAATTATAGAAAATTTATGGACAAATTACCTCCATGATGAAGAGCTAACTACACACGGAAAAAAGGAAAAAATAATAAATTGCCTGCAACTGTAGTGCCTCTGAACGAGTGCGAATTTGCTTTCTTGCAGGACGAGTACTTCCAAAATCCATTAATATTGCAAGAGGTGGCTGTCCTTTTCTATGTGTTATAAGGACATTACCAGGTTTGACATCATTATGCGCATATGAAGGATCAAAATTGTGCATATGCATGAGTCCAGCACAAAGCTGCAAATGCAAATCAGCGAAAAGTTAACATGCATCAATGCATCCAAACTTCCAAAGCCACTACAGTTGTCATTAAAGAAGGCTAAAACTGTGCATAAATTAACAAACATCAACCTATACATGTTCATATTTCAGAAAGAAATCGACATACAGTGGAACTGAGTAAATGGCATATCATGCAATAGCAAGCTTAAAATTAAGAAGAAATGAAACACCACGTGGTGAAATCAAATGATTAAAAAATAATCTCTGAAAGACAGTATGATGCAGAATATCCTTCTTCAGATCAGATGTAGACAAATAGCATAAAAACACCTTACATGCTTCCAAAATATAGGCAAAAGGGGAAAATAATCCATTGCTTTCATAGCCATAATGATTTTATTCACCTGCCGAAATATATGAAGAACATCCGAGGTAGAAAAGAACTCCTTCTTAACCTTCATAGCTTTAGCATTGTCCAGTAATGTTCCATCCAAATGAACTGGAAACAACAAGTATGCTTCATGCTTCCAAGATCCTTCTTGTGTGGACTATCCAATGAAAGAGAATCTTTTTCATAAATATCCGATTTGTTAATGAGAAAAAAGACATCCATGAAAAGTAGACAATTCAAATATCTTAAAAGGCTTATATGCATGTCAGATTTAAAGTACAAACAATGAAATTAATTAGTTGCCTTAGCCAGACAGTCTGAAAAAGGATTTTAATTAGACATGAATTTTCCAAAAAATCTTATTTCAGTTAAAAATCAATTGGATGCTCCCGTGGCATTCTCCATGCAATCTATAGGTGTCGTACACAACGCAAGCTGTGTGCATGGTAAGTAATAAAGGCCAGTGTCATGTCAACCAGCACATTCTGAGACATAGGCAAGAATAATACACTGATTGATCAGTGGATTCTCTCATCTCAAGTTAACAGCAAAGTTATTCGTGACTAGAAAAAGAGTCAACATCTCTACTCTAGGTTCAGAAACCATAAATAATTAACCCGTTAAGCATGCTGTTGTAGGACAGCAGTGTGAGCTAAAATGGCATTATCTGCAGTTAGTTATAGGGAGGGCTAAAACAACTGAGTGTTAAGTCTATGATTTGGTTTTGGTGATATCGATGATACATTGGTTGGTTGTGCTTAACTGTGATATATGCTTGAAAAACCTTAACACAACACAACTACCCTTACATCTGAATCTGATATACTTGTGCTTTGAATTGCCAAAAGGATTTTATAGCTTCCAATAATTAATACTGATTACCTTAACTGCAATTATGACATGATCAAGAAGTGGAAGCAGATTGGGATGGGTAAACAAGGACGAAACACAGATCTCCTCCCTCACCAAGTCTAACTGCTCACTATTCTGAATGAGAACTTTCTTCATTGCATAAGTTCCATCATTTGCATCAATCCAAATAAAAAGCAAGATCGGATTATATTTTTCCTTCTTCATCAAGCCATCAGCCAAATGTTGAAACCATTATGGAACTCCATATGACAAGACAATCACATCATCAAAACTAAGGATGGACCAAGAGGGGGGCAATCCCTATGATTTAAAAAATAAAAATAAATAAATAAGGGGGGGCAATCCCTACGATTTAAAAAATAAAAATAAATAAATAACTTTACTACAATAGTATTAGCTATTACTTATCTCCAAATTATAAAAGCTCGCCCCCACCAGTTTTTTTTTTTTTTAATTTTAAATGATCTCCCCTCTGATATTTTTAAAAAAATTTATTGACTGCCCTCATATCTATTAAACATAGGGGTCAAATTTTAAAATTTTAAAAACAAAATTGACCAAAATACATCCCAAGAAAATAGTTTATCATAACTAGTGTTAATGACAAGCATTATTCTGTAGGCTGCAAAGAAGAGAAGAAGGTGAATGAGAAGTTAGCAAGTTAGTTGATCATATTCATTCAAAAAGGCATTGTCTGGGATCTTAATGTCTATTCTACCATAGATTCATTTAATGACATGAAAGAATGTGGAATACAACTCAAGATGCCTCATTTCAATAGAAATATTGTCTTACAATTGCAATTTTTTCTAACTCACCGTAGCTAGAAGCAAACCTGCTTATTATACATGTTGTAATGCTTACATTTTAAAAGTTTTGTTAGTATATATTTCCCTTAATATCCTAGGTCCTTCCCTGGTCAAAACTATACATCAGATCAATCAACATGCAACATGCAACACACAATAAACACATCACCCACATATCAAACCAAACCCAATTCTCAAATGGTTAATCCAATATTTTCATTACAAACACAAACAACCCAATAAATGCTTAGAGAAATGAAACAGACCCACCTCTCACAAATCGAAATTTACCCAATTATTAAATCACAGATCCAAACTTACTAAAAAATACATTTCACCGCCAATTGAGGATAAAATTCATATAGAACATGATTGTTAAAACTTAAATATAATCAATTTAGCAATTCAGGTTCACAATTCAATTACCCATAAGTTCATAACATATATATACACCCACAAACCCAATTTACCAATTATTATCAAAATTAACTAAAACAAACCACCAATTGAGGGCAGAATTCATAAAGAATGACATTGTTGATGCTTAAATCTACTCAATTTAGCAGTTCAGGTTCAGAATTCAACTACTCATAATAAATATATCTACCCAAAAACCCAAATTACCCAATTATTAAATCAAAGGTCAAAATTTACTTAAAAAAACACATTACACAGCCAATTGAGAGCAGAATTCATAAAGAACGACATGGTTGATACTTAAATCTAACCAATTTAGCAATTCAAGTTCATCTTCTTGTAATGTCTTAGTTAATTATATTAGGAACACCTTTCCTCACTATGATAGCTCATTTTACTGTTACAAAAGAAGGAATCTCTACTGTCCTCATCAATCAGGACATTGTTTTCCGATTCCTATTTCCTCCTCAAGAACATGAAATTAACACTCTCAAAACTAATCTAATTTATAAACAAAAGCAAATTTGCTTATTGCAGAAAGAAATCTCTTACAAAGTTATTGAGAGTGTAATATGGAGATACCCACAAACCCAAATTACCAAACTATTACACTGTGTTTGGGAACCTAGGAGAGAAAAGAAAAGAAATGATTACTTAAATAATAAGAGAAAAGAAAAGAAATGAAATGATTGTGATTTCTCTTATTTTTGTTTGGATAAAGAAGAAATAAAAGAAAAGAAAGGATTATGATTTCTCTCATTCTTGTTTGGTTAGATTTCATTAAGAGAAAAGAAAAGAAATTATTTTATGTTATATTACCAAAATAACCTTTTTATATTTTCAATCATTTTATTTCTTTTATTTTTCTTTTATTTTTATAGGGACAACATTGGTATTATGAAAATAGTGATTTTTTTTCTCTCCTAATCTCTCTACTTTTGGAAAGATTGAAAATGAGGCTTATAAGAGAAATGAGTTTCTCTCCATTTCTCTCAATTTCTTTCCATTTCTCTCCACTTAGGTTATCCAAATAAATAAGAGAAATGCATACCTCTCCATTTCTTTTCTTTTCTCTCCAAATCACTCAATCCAAACATAGCGTTAAATCACAGATCAAAATTTACTAAAACAAATACGTAAACAGCACTAATTGAAGGCAGAATTCATAAAGAACAACATTGTTGACCCTTAAATCTAATCAATTACTCATAACAATTATATCATGAACCCAAACTACCCAATTATCAAATCACAGATCAAAAATTCGCTACCAACACATTGCACCACCAATCGTTGTCGTCAGGATTCAAATCAACTTAGCAATTCAGGTTCAGAATTCAATCAATCAGAATAGGATGCGATGGAACCTGAGACGTGAGAAGGGTCCTTGAATTTCTTGGCGATGCCACCACCAGAAGCAGCAGTGGACTCGGAAAGGACTTCCTTGACGAGGAAGACGTAGGCGAAGCCACCTTCGCCGAGCTGCCTGAGGATCCTGAAGCGGTGCTCATTGATCCACACATCTCCACCTCCGTTCACGACGTCGTACAGTGCGTTCAGTCCTGAAATCGAGCATCCCATCTTCCACACCCTGCTCTGCTCCCTCCTTCCCCCTCTCTCACTCTAGAAAATTGAGTAGGATGTCCAAACTCCCATATTTGATTATGGGTAAATTATACAAATGGCCCTATAGTGTACTCATATTTTTATTTTGGTCCTCGTTATTTTAATTTGATTAATTTTATCTCTTAATTTTACGGATTACGTCATATTAGTTCAATAAATAACAACGGTTAAATTTGATTGACAAAAAATCAAATAATATTTTAATTTGGTCCATGTAATTTATATGATGTATTAATTTGATCCTTGTAGTTTATAGGAAAATCAAAACAATAAGGACTAAATTTACATCTTGTAAATTACATGAACCAAATTGAAACATCATATGATCATTCGTCCATCAAACTTAACCACTGTTATTTATTAGACTAATATAACACAATCTATAAAATTAAGGAACAAAGTTAAGCAAATTAAAACAATAATGATCAAAATGAAAAAAAGGTAAATTACATAAACTACCGCTGTAATTTTTCCTTTGTTTATTAGGACCTCATTTGGAAATTAGGTTTTTTTGACTTTTTTTTATTATATTATCTCTATTTTTTTTAAAATTTTTGTAGGCTTTTTTCAAAAATTGTTTAAAAAGCCAAAAAATTGATTGATATATTTTTTAACTTTTTATAAAAAGATATAAAATGTGTTAAAAAAGTGATGTAACTCAAATAAAAATTTATGCGATTCAAATAAGATAAAAAAATACATCCCAAACAAGGCCTTAATTTGGTTTTGTATTTCCCTTTTTTCTCTGTTATGGATTTTTTTTTTAATTATTTTTTGAAAAATAAAACGTAAACGTTATAATGATTATTTTAGTTTTAATTTTTTTTATTTGTTTCCGATCTAAATAATTTGTCTATTTTTGTTGACCAAAAAATATATTTTAATCATTAAAATCAATAAATATTTTAGATATTTTATGTACATGTAATTTAATAAATAAAATACTCATTTTTCATTAGTTTTATTACTCAACAAAAATAGACATATTTTTATATTAAAATAAATCAAAATGTTAAGATGTATATTGATAAAATTAAAATTTTAAGATTCATTTATTTTACTATAAGGGTCAAATCTTTGGATTTTTTTGTAAACCTTTTTTTTTTTTCTTTTTTGTGAGTACTTGTTTTGAGAAAGAATTTCAAAAACTGGCTTTTGAAAATAAATATTTTTTTATTTTTTATTTTTTTGGTTTGAACTGAAAATCAAATAGTTTGAAATTACAAGTTTAAGACCAGTTTCACTAAAAATGATAGCTTAAAATTGTGATTTTCATGTTTGAGAAATTATGATCTGATTTGATCATGTGCCAACAATAAAATTGTAGATTCAGCATACAAATATCAATTTATAAATTTTTTTATTTTCACGAAATCCTGTGTAAATTACATGGACAGTCTCCAGTTGGCTAGTCCAGCTAGGCAGTCCAGTTGGCCCATTGTGGGTTTATTTTGGATTAGTCTCAACAATCTAAACCGTTTAATGTGTAGAACTTGTCAATTGCTTTATCTCTATAGAAAAATCTCGTTGATCAGATATCAATAGCCATTTGATCAGATAACATTTGTGTTAATAATTTATTTTTAAAATTATAACTACCGTTGACACAAACTTGATATGATCAAGTGACTATCAATACCCAATCAATGTGATTTCTTGTAGAGATGAAATATTGGACGATAGACTATCAATACCCAATCAACGTGATTTCTTGTAGAGATGAAATATTGAACGATATCTATATATTGAACGGTTCAGATCATTGATGTGAGCTCTGTGATGAATCCACAAAGGTTCAACAGCATGCTCTAATATAATTTTAGACTAGAGACAAACCAGTCTTTCATGCACTATAACGGCTTTAGACTTTTTATTTATTTAAATTGAGAAGAAAATTTTCATTAGAAAATCAATAAAAAATTAAATTAATCTTTATTAAATCCTTAAAATAATTATACTATAACATGTCACTGGACCTTTAAAAAAGGTCTAGTTTTTCCGTGAATACATTATATTCATAACTTAATTGACAATACAAAATTAGATAGACCATCCAATCATACGTAAATAATTTTGCAAAATCATTCCTGTTGGCGAAATCCAATCCAAAACTACCAAATCAGAAACCAAAATCGGATCTCCTATCATTTTTACGATGATGATGATGATGATGATGATGATTACTACGATGACAGAATCGTAAGTAGTGTTCCAATGCTCATATCCCAACATAAGGATCCAAATGCAATATGAAATCATCAAAGCTCGTAACAAGAAAACTCAAATTTATGGGTGGAACATAATTGCACACACATCACGTGCTCTCTCTCCGGCTGCTTCAAATCAAAACATATATATAATAAATGCCACATGAAATATGAGTCAAAATAAAGTACATTAACATTAGCAAATGGAAAATACAAGACTCAATTTTTGCATTGTTTTTCAGAACATAGAGGAAGTAAGTTCAGAAACATCTGAAACAACTTGATCATAATCTGCCTTGAGCTTTTCTTGTTGCTCCTGGCCGAGTTCCCCCTTCATAGGCTTGGTTAGCACCAGGACACAGCATGTTGGCCTCTTGGTGGCTCCTGCATTTGCAAGATCCTGAACAAAGAAACATATTATTAATATGTTTTTTAGCACTGTAAATCATAGGAAATGTCTCCATTTCTTCATAAATTCACCCAAAATTGTCTTTTAGTTTGTATTTAGAATCGTGCCATGTGTAGTTTTGGAAACAGAAAACAAATTTTGGCATGCAACTATAAAACATTGGAGTGGGAATAACGATTCCCTAATCATTAACCATATAAAGTAAAAAAGAAATATTATGTAGAGCACTCATCAACAATCACTATTGAAGTACATCCAATGTTAGAGTTAGTACTAGCATTAGGTTATTGGGTAGAATCCAACCTACAGCTGTGAGGAGAGCACGTTGGACTGCCTACCTCACCTTCATAGCTTGAAATGCCATGGGAGATCTTCTCCGGCATCAAAGAAGTGCTAGGGAGGAACCGGAACAAGGTAAATTAGGGAACTTTTTCTCCTTCTGTTATTTTATCAGCAGATTAGGGAACTTTTTCCTTTATTAGAAGGACCCAAGAGATTACATTTAGAGCACATATGAAGTCCCAAAAACTTGATGCACAAATCCATTCTTTAAAATGAAACCATGAAAGATGATAAAAGCATAGCAAGAAGTAATACGATTTTCATAAAAAAATAAATAAATAATTAAATGGCTTCATCTTAATAAAACACCCAAAATATCCTATAGATGTAGTAAACAGGCATAGTAATACACTGATTACAAATGCCATGAAGAATTAAAATACTAATTTCAAATGCTTGTGAAAATTACACTTTCATGGGATGTCCAACCCATGCTTAAACCTTATTACTACAAAAACACAGAAACTATAATTGATGGCAGAATTAGACAAAGTAACCATGACAGAAGGAATAAAAAAATTAGAAAAGCTGCTTACTTCTTTTGATGACACATATATATAGGGAATATCAGCTTCTTCACATAAGATTGGAAGGTGAGTGATGACATCAATAGGAGATATGTTCCCCGCAATAACACAGAATCTGCATTTACCAATAACAAGATGAATTAGAACAACATCTCAAATTCAAGTGGCCAAAAGCAAATTCAACAACACAATCTTTAAGGCCAAGATACTTTTCACATAATCTTGTTGATTGATTCAAGATCAACTATCCAGGTAAAAACAAAATAAATTAATCAGAGATTTCCATTTGAAGTGGCAGTGAAATTATGATTTGACATTTTCTTCAGATTAAACAATTTGTATTCAAGATTTTAATACATCCTGGCATTTGTATAGTTGACATGTTAAAAGGATTGCGAAAACTATTTCAAATGCAATAATATATACACATATATGTGCAGAACTGAAAATGAAATTTTAACAAAAAAGGGGCATGTTTGTGAAGATGTAAAAGCCCAGTTGAATGTTGAAGAGAGATCTTACTACTACATCCTTCTGGACTACTTTCTCCTTTTCAAATTCAAAGGTTATCACTTTTGTTATTTCTAGTGCAAATTATCAGTTTCCACCCAGAATTTGCATATGCTCAGCCACACTTCAGGAAAAAAACATAAGGAACCCCAAAAAGGCTCAAAATCAACACCCACAACTCTCAAAATCTGGTGATGAACAAGTGATCCACGGGTTTTGTAACTTCTTTTACAACAATTAACAACAATGCACTTGAGCTCTGTCAAATCATATTATGCAATGTTAGAATCCTCTGGTACGTTGTTGCCCAACAAGAATGGCTATGCTACCTCTTTTAAGGGGAAATGGTATGCTAAATCGGTAAATCCCCTTTCAATGAATAGAACCCCCATCATATTCCACCAAAGTGTAATGGTAAGATTTAACTCCAAACTTACCTGAACTATAAATATTCCATCTAAGTTCATCTTCTCCATCTCCTTGCATAAAAGCTTAGTTCCCCAATTCCCCAATCTCCCAAACCCGCAAAGCTTGTCTAAAATTCACATCCCAAAACATCCGCTTTGCCCTCATTATGGAAATACTCTGCTACCAACACATCTCTATCCACCACAAATGCAATAAAAGTCACATCCAGTTCCTTTTTCACACCACCTATGCTGCCAAAATCTAATCCCCTCGCCTCTGCCTGCCTTGAATCCAGTATTATTAAACTCATCCCAACCACCTTTTCTAATGCCTTTCCACAAACCCCTCCCATGGGACGTATAAACCACCAAAGAAGACCACTCACCTCACCACACATCGTATTTAGATTCCATAATCATAAAGAAAACAATGTAATCTCCAAATCTCCAACATCTAAATAGCAGTCTACCATCACCAAATAGGTACGTAAATATATCAAATTGGGCATCTTTATTAAACGATAACAAGTAAAATTTTGAGATTGCATGCTAAAAGTCACATCAAAACCCAACATTTTCTCAATCACTTAGCAGCAAACAATATCCATAAACAAATCAAAGGCACTATATATAATGTATATACAGATGACTGGGTATAATTACAAGACAATGCGCGACTCACCCTTTGTTACCCCGACGAATAGTTTTAACCACCTCCTTAACTCCTCTCTTCAGGCATTTGTGTTCAGCCGCTGAAACAATAACCAATATATAAATATACAGATCTTGGATGTGTAGATATATATATATATAGAGAGAGAGAGAGAGAGAGAGAGAGAGTGTGTGTGATGTGTGTGTGTGTGTGTGTGTGTGTGTGTGTGTGATGATACCTCGGCGGACGAGCTTGAAAGTGCGTCTGCTGAGTTTCTTGCCAGCAAGGGGTTTGGCAATGGGGGCCAAAGCTGAAATCTTCTTCTTCTCCTTCTGAGCCGACTTCTCTGCTTCGCTATCGCTTCCCATCTCTCTCTCTCTCTCTACTTTCTCTCACTCGGAAGCAAAGTCGATGAAGGGGAAGGTAACTAGGGTTTCTGTACGTGCTTAGGGTTTTAGGTTGAGAGGGAAGGGAAGAGAGAGAGAGATGTTTCTCACCTGCCTTCTACATCCGGGTATCAAGAAACACGAACGATTGTGAAATTTTTTTAAAGTTTTGTGTGGTTGAGATTTATTGGCAAGTTACATCAGAAAAATTGATGTGACTTGCCAGTAAATCTCAACTATACACTGTAGCATTTTAGGAAATTTTAGGAAAAAATCACTCTAGAGGATTCTTACTCATCAAGAAAATTAAAAAATTAAAAAGTTATGTGTTTGGTTATGAATTTTAAAAATAATTTCTTAATTGAGTTTTGTTTTATGTATTTGGTTACGATTTGAGTGTAGAGTTGTGAAAGTAGTATGGAGTTTCGAGTTATGTGTTTGGTTATGAGTTTTAAAAATAATTTTTTAATTGAGTTTTGTTTTATGTGTTTGGTTACGATTTGAGTGTAGAGTTGTTTTTAAATTTAAAATATTAAAATTTTAAATTATTTTAATTTTTTGAATATTTAAATTATTTAAATTTTTACGATTTAAAATTTTTGAATATTTATTTTAATTTTTTACTTATTAAATTTTTTAGATTATTTAAATTATTTAAATATTTATGATTTAAATTTTTTGAATATTTATTTTGAAAAAAAATTATTTCCTTTGTAGTATTTTCAATTAAAAAATTGATTAATGTTATTTTTTGTTAATAATAAATTTTTTTAATTGAATTTTAAAAAGAGTTTGGTTATGAGTGTTGATCAAAATTTTCAATAATGTGAAAGTAATGTGTTTTGTTATGAGTTATAACAATTTGAATTAAGTTTTGAAAACTCTTTTCAAAACTCATAACCAAACAAATTTTCTTGCTTCACATGTCAAATCAAACTTTCAAAACTCAATTCTACACTCAATTCAACACTTTATTAAAAAATCATAACCAAACAAATTTTATACACTCAAATCATAATTCTAAAACACACAAACTCAAAATACAATTCATATTCTCAAATCATAGTTACAAAGTTCTACCAAACGGAGCCTTAAATTGTCACTAACCTCTCCTACTTACTGCCTATCGCCGCCGTTGTTATCGTTATCGTTGTAATTGTCACTATCACTCACTCGGCGGTAAGGGTAGGGATGTGTGCGGTGTAGTTTGAGCAAAAAGAGAAATTATGTGGCGAGTGGCGAATTAACAAATAATCAAATCGTGGAGTGATATTAATTTGTTAGTTGATTGAAAAAAAAATTTAAATAATTATTAAATATTTATATAATATAGAATATTAGGTCTCGTTTGGCATAACTTATATAATCCATCTTTTTATCTTTTTTCCATCACATCACCTCTCTACTTTTCTGCACATCTTTTCGTAAAAAGACAAAAAGTGCACTTTTTTAGGACACCCCAAACCAACCCTTAATTTGCATAATATTTTCATATACATAACACAAACTATTTTTACATAATATTTTTCATATGTATAAGTACTAATTTATAACAAAGCGTACATTTTACTAATTTTTTACTTTGATATTTAATTAAAAGTTTAAAAAAAAATTATATATACTAATTATGGCGGAACGGAGTGGTTTTGAAGGTGGATTATAAATTTCAAAGTTTAATCTGCAGTTAGCGGTGCAGATCGGTGCAATTTTGGCAGATTAAGCCAGTATTTTGCACAACCCTAATCAGGGGTGTGTGCAGTGCAGTTCAAGCGATTTAAAAGTAAAATTATAAATCAAATGGCGGATTGACAGATTGACAAATAACTAAATCGCTGTTTGGACGATTTAGGACGGATTGAAGAATATTCTTAGTCAATTATAAAATATTTGCATAATTGTTGACTTTTTTGGCTTTCGAAGGTTATTTTTGTAATTGTGAGCGTGCCAACAAGGATCAATCAGTCCTTACAGAATATTAATTGCCAACCAATTATCAGATGATTGTGTTTTAGTTCTTTCAGCCTCAATGAAGAGGACTTTTACTTGTTTAGGAGAATTAAGCAAACAATGATTAAATGAAGAACAATTGTAGCATTCATTAAGCAAAATGAAAGACTTACAAAGATCCAAATCAGCCCCGTAGAGGTTTACAGCAACAAGCTACTTGAAAACTGCTCCTATGAACAAAATGCAGTGCAGGAATTTGAAGTACAAAAATGTAAAGAACAAGAAATATAAAAACTGGAAGGAAAAATAAAGTAGTGTAGACATCCCATTTTTGACCGACCTTAAAACTCAGACGTCACCGATTGAGCGCTTGGTAATGTTGCATATCGTGCTCGTTCAGAAGTTTCAGAGTCTCGGCTGCGAGTCTTGCCTCTAGACTTCCGGACTCTTTTGTGCTTTGCCTCGGTTTGCGAACCAGGCTCTGTTTTCTCTGTTTTCTCTTCCCGAAGGGAGGGAGAGGTCTCGTAGATCATCTCTCAGTGGTCGTAGGCTACGTTTCGTGGTCGTAGGCCATTTTGCCCGTTTGGAGTCCGGTTTTCGATTTTTCGGAACCGTTGGCCGTGTGCCTCGGTTCGGGACCGCTTAACCACCTCCGTTCGCTCCGGTTTTTGGTATACACCTTATTTGCTCCCTTTTGAGGGACACTGTGGTCCGAGAAACCGACTTCGTGGTCGAACACTACTCCCGGTGCCTAACAGTCAGTTTTCGGGGGCCCGGGCTGCGCGTTTTGGCCCCCGAACCTTCATTTTGCATCAGTTTTGGTTCGTTTTTGGCAAGGACCTCTGTTTCATTGCTAGGAAGGTCATAGAAGGATGGGAGTCCAGTAATTGTTCTGTCAACCAACTTTATCCCTTCATCGCCCTCCGTCGCCCGATTTTTCTCACTTCAAAGCCAATGTTGACCACCCTTGGGCCATTTTCTTGCACCCTAAACCCCATATTTGTAATGTACACATCTGGGAGGCCACCAATTTTTGGTGGCCGGCCAGTAATTGCTTTTGAACCTTTTGAACCCCTTTGAAAAGTGGGTTGTTCTCTCTCCTGGTTCACTATCTCCAGTTTTTGACCACATGATTGTGTTGAGCACACATGGGAGGCCACCAATATGTGGTGGCCGGCCAGCAATTGTTCTTGGACCTTTTGACCCCTAGCCGACCGGCCATGGGAAGTAGCCGGCCGGCCACCTGTAACCTCAATAACCAGCCGGCCTTGCTCCTTGCTCCTGATACAGTTCAAATATGCATCTCTTTTCCCCCCAGATTTTGTATCCGGGGGGCCAACTTTTTGGGGGGAAACTTGAATTGTTTTCCCCCCCCCATTTTTTCCCCCTTTTCTCCCCCTCTTTTGCCTATAAAACCAGCCTCCCAGCTCTGGTTTAGGGGTTAGAAAATTTTGGTTTAGAACTCTCATATTAAATCTCTCTCTCTCTTTCTACTCTAAGCCTTAAAAACCCCCTTGGTTCTTCACAAACCCATAGCCCCACCCTTCCATCCTCCATTCTAGCAACTTGAGGTTGTTCTTCAGAGCCTAGGAGTGCTGCATTTTGGTCCAAAAGGCTGTCAAAGATTAGTCTTCAAGGGTAAGTCATCTTCTCCCCTTTTTGACCCTTTTCTTGGTTCATATTCTAGCTTCTTGTGCTTACTTTTTTGAGCTCCGACCCTAATTGAAAATAGAATTTTTTTGAGCTCTATTTCATGTTTGTTTAAGGGCCTCTCACTGTTTGAGGCTTCCTTGTGGCACTTGCTTCTTTACCTTTCTTTTATGCCATTTCCTTGCATAGTATTTTAGGCCTGTGTATTAACTATTTTGAGCTCTGTCATAAACTGTAAAGTGGCTTATTTTGAGACCTTCTTCAACATTGTTGAAGGAATCATCACTGTTTGAGGCTTCTATTTGCCATTTGCCTTTGTATCTCTCTTTTGGCTCCATTTTTGCATGATTTGTTAGCCTCTTGTGCTTCTATTTTTGGGCTCTGGTCCGAACTATAAATGGACTTATTTTGACCCCCTCTTCATGTTTCATTAAGGGTCTTTTACTGTTTGAGGCATCCTTTTTGTACTTTGTGTTATAGCTCTCTTTTTAGCCTTGTTTTGCATAGTATTTTGAGCATGCTTGTGCACTGTTTTGGATTTGATCATAAACTGTAAAAGGTCATATTTTGGGCCCCTCTTCAACATTGTTGAAGGGCCCTCATCTTTTTAGAGCCGGAAGCCATCACTTCCTTCTTTGTCTCCCTTTTGGCCCTTTTTTTTGCATGCTAGCTTAGCCCCATTTGTGTTCATTGTTTGGCCTTGATTAAAACTGTAAATATGCTTGTTTTGGGGCTTCCTTGAATCTGTCTTCACATTTCATAATCAAATAATGCATGTTTTGTATAGCTATAGGCCAATGCATATGCCTAGTTTCGTGTTTCGGGTTCATTCCATGCATCGGGTGCCATGTTTCCATGATTCGGGGCTGTTTTGGGTCATATTTTAGCGCTGAAATTTGCATGCTAGTATGCCATATTCCATGCCTTGCCATGTCTTGTTAGAGTGGCATTAGGTGCCTTAGGGTCGGTCCTCGATTTGCGTGCATGTATGCACGCATTTCGAGTGTCTCATTTTCATCTCATGGCCTCTTATGTGAGTGTGGCTGAGGTCCACTCATGTTGGGTCAGCCCATATTCATTGTGTATGTCATTTCATTTCATAGCATTGGTGTATGCTAGGTTGTATGTTAGCGCATTGTGTATGCCATTTCATTTCATAACATTGTGTATGCTAGGTTGTATACTAGTTGCATTCATGCATGTCATGCATATTATGCATTGTGCTTGGGATAGGAGTTAGCCGAGCACGAGAAACGAGGGACGTTTCGTACTTCGAGTGACGGAATGTGTCTCAATTTCCAGTCACCGACACTCCGGATTATCCATGATGGAGTTTAGGTTTTGTTGTGTTTATGTGTGCATTCATTCCATATGAGTCATGCAAATCGACTCCTCGGCCATCATGCATCGATATGCGTGATTGGTGGCACGAGGATCGAGACACACTCCCTAAAGAGTAGTCACGCATACATGTATGAAAATATATTGCCATGCCCCTTTCCTGCTCTCTGTGCAGCAAATCAAGAATCAGTAGTCTTCCGGGGCTTGC